TGTGGATCGACCCTATGCTATGCTACGACAACTAGAGTGTGTCGTTAGCTAGTTAGGAAATTATAAATACAATTTGACACGCATCAGTTACCTTTAAAAAAAAATTCAAACCTAAAAGTTTCTTTGAAATTATTAAATATAAATTTATTTATTGAAAACTAAAATAAAGCAATTAAGAAAATAAACGAGATAAACTATCGGCCCCAAGGAACCATTAGAAGTTACATGCACCCGATAATAATTGTGTGTTAAGGATGAGGGCATATTTTATAAAGATAATTACTAGAATGATTTTGAAAGTAGGCTAATTATTAGAATGATTTTGTCAAATCTCCAAACTTGACACAATTTCATAAAAGACTAATTAACCTTAGTAAGAATTTTTATTAACAAAATTGCCACTGCAAAACCTAAAAAAAAAGAACAGAGAACAAAGTTTTATAAGATATTTGCAGTCGGGTTTTGTTTTTCACGCATCATCTTCTCCGCCTAACATACCTCCGCGATTCCGGCGAATTCCGGCGAGCCGAGGCGACGACGGTCACGGGTAAGTCTTTCTCCTCTGTTGTTGTTAGTTTAACCGATTTGGGGAGATGATGAGGCTAATTCCGTTTGTTCGATAGGTCTTGTTTTCTCGGCGAAACTAATTTCGGCGACTGGTTTTGGGTTCTTGGTGAGTTTGGGTTCCCGACAAGTTTGGGTTCCCGGCGAGTTTAGGATTTTGAGTTAGGGTATATGAATTTTGGTTTTCATTTCGAGTTAGGGTATATGAATTTTGGTGTTCTCAAAATCTGAAAACCCTAATCTGCAATAAATTTTGCAGATTTCCTTCACCTTTGACGGTGAAATCGACGGAATCAACGGTGGTTCTGGTGAGAGAAGTTATTATTTTGTTGTTTTAATTTTTTGCTTGATGATAAACTTATTGATAGTGATGGTAAACTTATTCTTAGTGATGGTAGATTTATGTAAAGTGATGTTTAATTTTTTTGTTTGATGGTAGACTTATTATTAGTGATGGTAGACTTATTCGTAGTGATGGTAGACTTATTCGTAGTGATGATAGATTTTTTAAAAACTGATCGTAGATTTTGATGGTAGATATATTCTACTTGATGGTAGATTTATTGATATTGATTGTAGATTAGATTTTTAATTTCATGGTCGATTTATTTCTACGTGATGGTAGATTTATTTCAATTGATGGTAGATTTATTTGACTTGATGGTAGATTTATTTCAAGTGATGGTAGATTATTTGTACATGATTAATCTTATCCATTGTACAGAAATGGCGTCGTCTTCTATTCTGCCAAGTGAGTATC